CATGGCCCTAGTTATGGGGGCACCAACACGTGAACATGCACTTATAATAACTATATTCAGATTCCTTGTATCTTAATAGTTACCTAGAAAACTCACTTTCTCAATTCTAATCATCTACTACTTAGAAAATGGTTATGATTTGTCTTTGATCACACAATGGGAAAAAAAGAACAATTTATACAGAGATTTATTGATTCATAGTATTCTCTTATATATGTACAATGACGTAGCTGAATCTCATTCTAATCTTGTAATGGGTGATTCTATCCCTCATAGTCCTTCCAATAAGGTTTAATTATGTGACGTTTTATGAGCGTATCCTCTCTAATGACAAATATACCCACTATTCTTATTTATAAAACGACCAATGTTAGTTTCTAAGTACCCAATCATAACTGTTTAGAATTAATTAAATGATTATGATTAATAAATCAGTCCCTTCCCTGCTAACGTCACAACGAATATGATCTCAATCTTGCATTACATATTGATATATGACTGTTTGGAAACAAATTAATGATATAAGGATATTAGAGAGTAGCAAATTAGGATTACTCATTAGTGTTGATATAAATGAATAATGGAGGATTTATATGGCAGGATGTCATCTATATCGTTGGATTCCATAGATGAAAAACAAAACATGTTTAGTTAGTAGTATGTGAGTATTAACCCCGCATTAACTAATTGAATGCATTGTAAATGATTCAAATTAACATATGTATTACATATAGTATAACAAAGAAGTTAAAATACGTACTTGTGTTGGTATATGCCAGCGAGCGTGCAAGCAGTGAGCGGGCAGGTGTGCGCGGTCTTTTTGCATGTGCTGCATTAATCTGGCCTGAATATGTTTTGTGCGCTACGAACATTACAGGGTTTGAATGACAGCTAATGTAGACATTACAAACGCTGCAGTAACTGGCCATTCAAAGCCTTATCCGACCCCTTATCTCACCAGGAGCTTATATAAAGGGCCTCCTCTATTCATTTGAGAGACCACTGAAAATCAATCTTCTTTCTTGATTTTCTTCTACAATCCTCTAACTTGTTGTGTAAGGTGCTGGTTTGAAGACTCCTGCAAAGTAAAGTAACAGTAGAGGTGTTCAACTAAAAATATCACTTCTTTGTACTGTAGTCGTCTCTTTATTGGAAGTATTGTGCAAACCAACGCTACTACAGGTGGGGCATAACTTTTTTAAGGCTAGTCCTCTGTTCAGAGGATGATTTAGCATTTCTGTTATGTATTTCTTTTTTAAGTGTTCTGTTATGGTAATATTAGCTTTCTGCTCTATGTCTTTATTCCTATATGGTTTGTTCTGCTTGATTATATCCTTATGGCTGGATCTATTTTTACCTATACTTTTCTCTACAATCTTGAAAAAAATTATTAACATATGAAGTTGTGTCTTCTATTTTAGGAGTCAATTCTGGTGCCGTTACCCCTAAAATGGACATGTATGAAATGCCAGAAAAGTTCATGGGTCAATTCTTCAAACGTTGGCAACAATGTATGAAGATTTGGCTGACAACTAAGAGACTGTAGGCAATGATATTATTGGAATGCCTAAAACAGGATGAGAAAGATCCCAATAGTGCAGAGAAAAATTATATAGTAGACGGAGAAGGATAAAATACCAGAGGATGCATTTTATTGGCTATGTCCAATGTGCTCTTCGATGTCTATTGTTCTTCTTCGGCTACCGCAAAGGCATTATGAGATTAACTAAATAAAAAATACTATACCCAAGACCTTGGTCTTGAAAAGTATTTTGTGTTTAAGTTTTTAAAATTTCAAATGGTCAAGGGTAAATCTATGATAGCACAAGAACATGAACTTCTGTTCATTCTTCACGCTTTTTAAGAAGCTAAAATGGATCTTCTTAAAAAATTTCAGGTTATGACAATCATCTATGAATTTCCTCATTCTTGGGAGAGTTTTAGAATGTCTCTCAAGTATCAAAAAACAAAAAATCTCAATGACTTGATGATTGCCATAGCCATAAAGGAAGAATATAAGAATTAGAAACATGTTGTGCCTGTTGAGCGCCAACTCAAAGCAAATATTATAACTTCTGGGAAAAAAATTAAAAACAAACTTACTAGTAAACTTGATGGCAAAATTAAGGCCACAACTAAGATCTAAAAGAAACCGAAAGCAAATAAACCATGTTGGAATTGTGGATAGGTTCAATAGTGGGCTAAATTGTAAGGACCATGAATTTTGATACTAGTTAAAATAAATTTTTAGTATTTTAGAATATTTAATTATTAATTTTAAAAGAGTATTTGTATTTTTCTAGATTTCCTATAATTTTCTATGATTTAAAAATCTGATTATATATTTATTTAAATGATTTTGATATTTATAAATTTATTTTGTGCGGTAAAAATTTCTAGAATTAATTTATTGTGTTATCGGTGCTATTACATATTATTTTAAATAATATGTTGTACTATTAATATTATTACGTAATATTTCGTATAATACTTTGTATTATTAATTACGTATTTTGGTATAATTTGTTGTATTATCTTAACTGTTACATAATATCTGTCGTATTAGTATAACTAGTACGTTTTACTATGTATATAATTATCCCATAATTATTTGATTTTAAATGTAAGTAAATATATTTTATTTATTAATTATTTCAGTTTAATTGTACAATATGGGTATTTTTCGACTATTTCATATCAATTATTGTAATAGCACAACATGTATGTTTTTAATTATAGATAATTATTCTGTAGTTAGTTTAATTTTTAAATACCCGTAAATATTTATTTTAATTATTTTTGATTTAAACCCAAACCCTAATTCAATTATATATATATATATATATATATTATATATATATATTATAATATATAATATATATATAATATATATATATATATATTTTATATATATATATATATATATATATATATATATTATATATATATATATATATATATATATATATATATATATATATATATATTATATATATAATATTATATATATATATATATATATATATATATATATATATATATATATATATATATATATTATATATATAAGCTTTGTGTTCCTGTTCGCATTTTCACGGCAGCCGCCTCTCTCTCTCTCTAACTGTTCATCATCCCCGCTATCTATCCTCTCTCTCCGTTTCTCTCTCGCTCTCGTTCTCCGCTTAACCCACACCGCCACCAGGGCCGCGACCACCACCTTGCGCTCAAGCACGCCGGGCCCGCCTCTCGCCAGCACCCAACCCCAACGCCTCTGGTAGCCACGACCCGACGCCAAGCTCCACCTCGTCGCCGTGACCGCCCCACTCGTCGGAACCGACCAGGAACAGCCGCCCCACGCCGCCACCTTCTTCTTCTCCTCTCCGCTCGGGCTTCCCTCACCTGCCGCGCGCCAAGCTACTCGCCGCTCTTTCACACCCAACGTCGCGCCCATCCCCTGCTACACCGTCACCTCCGCCCGCGGCTACCCCTCCTCCGCCTGCACCACCTCCAGCCCCCTCTCCCGCTCCGCTACCTGACAGCCGCCAGCCCTCTCCGCCGGCCATCTCTTCCAAACCCGACAGTCCCCTCTCCCTCTCCTGTCGCCGCCTCGCCGACGACCCTAGATTCGAGCTCAGCCCGACGCCGCTGCCCACAGCAGTGACGACGTCCCTCCCCGCTGTCCCCTTTAGCCGTCGCCACAACCGCCGCTCATCGACGCCGTCGACGTTCAGCCCCGTCCCCTCTCAGATCTGAACCGTCATCCGCTACATCGCTGAGATCCCCGTCGACGTCGAATCATTCGACGAACCCGAGGCAAGATCCCTCTTGCCCGTTGTCTCGTTAATTTATATTTTTATCTAAATTATGAATTTATTACGTATATGCGTAGATTAGTTTGTGCTGATATGATTTTAATTGTGTAGTTGTTGATAATATCGCGGTGAACATATGCTGTGAAATGATGCTATGAATGATGAATAAGTATGTCAAAAATAGTTTATGGTTAATTTCGTGTTGTTTGAAAGGAAGAATATATTTATAGAGTATTTTTAGGATTATTTATAATGAGGAAAATATTTTAAAAGGGATTATTTCGAGAAAATAATTTATTTTGGATAAGGAGCATTTTTGAATAATTGTTATGATTAAAAGAATATTATTTTGAGAAAAAGAGTATTTTAGATTATTTTATAAAATATTATAGAAATCATTTATAAAATTAAAAGTATTACTGTTCATAAATAATAATTAAATATATTTTAAGAAGGTTATTCTAGAATTTTATAGTGAGAGATAATTTTTTAAAGGAAATTATTCTTGGAATTAATAACTGAGATTTCGATTTTCGTGTGCAAAACATCTTTTAATGGTAGTTCCATCTTGCATTGTTAATAGTAGCTTTACTCTCGTATGTTTCTTGCATGTGATCATGACCCATGTTCACACTTTATGACTTTGCCACTTAGCGTGATTGCATTTATTATTCTATGTTGAGAATCATGAGAAGTCTTCGACCATGTGAGCAATTGGGATTGTTGATGTATATTCCAGGCTCGCCCCGGTGAAGTTTGTATAGTCACCAGGGTGGGTCTGAGGAGCTGAGATATTTGTGATTGTGGTTGTATTCCAGGCTCGCGCTGGTGAAGTTTGTGTAGTCACCGGGATGGGTCTGAGGAGTTGAGATATTTGTGATTGTGGTTGTATTCCAGGCTCGCGTCGGTGAAGTTTGTGTAGT